TAGTACAATAGAAAAATACCCACCCTAAATTTATGTCGATCATTTCCTGATTGTAAACTTTTGTCCACCGAGTGTACGTATACGTACATGTATCTTTTATTGTATACCATGCAACACACATCATACAATAGCTATTAAAAATGAGATGCGAACAATCTTCTAAAAAGTCATTCTTTAAAATAAACTACGTGCACGATATGAATATTTAATATCAAGTTTTAAACTGCCTCCCCATGATAATAATACTCTAACTTTCGCGACATTGAAGTCACCTTCATATCGTATTTCACCTTCTGCTGCAGGCTCCTTGGTAGGCTTACCCGGTTGATAATCGGCAAAAACAGCGATTTTGTACGAAATATCCTCGGGGATATTAGCTGTCAATGTAGAATCTTGATCTGTTCCAGTGGCTTTCAAGGTTTTCACGTTGGCGATAACATTACCAATCGTCAAACCAGTGATAATTTGCTGTTTGGTTGCATTTTTCACCGTAATTTGGTTTCTGGAAATATTAATGTCGTCCTCTATTAGAGTCGGTGCACCATTCTTAAATAAGTTTGAAATAATGAGCTTTAGTAATAAAGAGTAAACAAATTAATTGGAAATCCCTAAAGAACTTACGTCATCTTTTAGTTGCCAGGCTTTTCCAATCTTTGTATCGTTAACTTTTCTTTTTGCTAATCTTTTGAGAGCTGCGTCGTCGGCTACTGTGGTTACATAATCAGAATAGACTATACCATATTTTTCACTGAATTTAAAGCTGGTAGCTCCATCTTCTAGCAACAAAGACTGAAGCCAAGGGTCGCTGAAATCATCATCGTTCTTTAACCTACATAAATATTGAAAAGTAATTCATCTTACGTTTTTAATTTATTTTACGATACTATCTACTTGAAAAATTACCATTTGGGATATACACATATGAGGAACGATTTGTCTGGTACTGAATTTTCACATTCAATATAATAATAGAGGTCAAACATCTAGATAACTTTGTATCGTTGAATTTTTGGTTTAATATAAGAATTTCAAAATCATAAATTCGAAAAATCCCATTCACTCCAATGTACATACGTATGTATATATGACATTTTTACTGATACGGCAGGTTTAAGATACGTTGCACAAAAAGGTCGGCTGATTTTTGATAACTCGAATATTCACTTTGAATATCGATATAAAGAAAATTGGACTATTTTTTACGCACCCTCGATTCGTTACTAAACAATGTGTTGATAACGATAATAATAACTCGCTTGTGAATATCTGATGCGTTAACGTTTGAAAGTGTTCATTGACTGAACAATGAAATGTATCATAACTTTGACAGCGTGACTCGTACTGAGTTTGGAGAAATGGATATCACATCTTGCAAAATGCAAATTGGATTGACTTGGAAGTGTGTTGTATCTAACGTACTTTACAAAAGCCAAGATAGTGAAATACACAATGTAGATCAGTAAATGCAACTTATAAATAAATAGAGCGAGTGAATCCTCGTCAACAAAAAACAAAATGACGCAAAAAAATTTCACATTTATCAATAAAACTGATATCGATTTAATAACGTTTGGTATAGGTGTTGACTTCCCCAAAACTCCAATTGATGAAAATTTTCTTCCCTTTTTATATGTGGACGTGAAAAAACTCTCGAATGAAGAAGCAGAAGGTAGTGGAGAAGAAGTTCGTGGAGAAGTAGTTACTTTTGCTAGTAAGAGAGAATTCTCTAGTGTTGTTCCAAGTGGCCCGGTAGGCCATAGAAAACTAAAAATTGATTCAAACACGAAAAATTTTCTGAAATATGAACAAGATAAACAAGATGTAATTCTTATAAATATTGCTTTCTAGTTTCTTGATGTGATATCGATACATATTCTAATAACTGATTCTTTTTCAGAAAACTAAATATACCGTAACTAATATAGGTGGCAAACCACTTAGCATTGGTCTTACAATCGACGGTATGATTGCAGCCACTAGTCAGAACGATTTAGAACCCTCCGAGTCAATTGAATTCTTCTTTCCAGAAAAATACTATGTTGGAATATTCAGTGAAATCGAGACGGATTGGCCTAATTGGAGTGCTGTGGTCGATGCCAAAATACCTTTAACTCTTGATTCAGCTACAGTTATTGCAACTATTAAAAGTGGCAGAATAACACTTAAGACACTTAAGCTTCAAGGTTCTAACTTGTAAACGAATTTTCTTACTGTCACGTTCTCTATAGATAGCAAAGTATGTATTATTTAAATATTAAAATAGCAACTATAAACATATCTTTACAACGTCGTCAACAAACTACCAGGGTAGTTTTAGCAGATCTTCAGCACTTTAATAAAGAATACAATGTCTTGATGTATTTGGATCAAATAAAAAGATTCCTACGAGTGAACATGTATCTTGAATTCATTATAATTTGGAAGTTGACCAAAAACATCTAGTTATCAATTATATTCAAATTACAAATTTTCAATTATCAGTCAGCTAATGCAGGCGTGAATTCTTTGCTTGTCATTGTCTTGCAAAATATCTTTAGGTGGAAATTGAAAATTTTCTCTTCAAGTCTAGTGATTTGGGCTAAATAGTTTAGGAATTTAGGACTTAAAAGGTTAAATTAAGATAAGTTAAACTAATAAAATTTAAATTTAAAAATAAAATAATTTGGGCTTGGGCTAAATAATTTAGTCCGAATCACTAACTTCAAGTATCATAATATGTAATACTTTTCTTTACACAATAAAGTTCGCCACGATCCAATCCTCTTCTTCGATCTTTTGTGGCTTATTTGAAAAGAATCCTTTGATAGATGAAATCGTTCAGAGTTTGCACAAGCCAATAGTATTATATTCTAGAACGCATGCATCTTTTGGGCATATCGAGACCTTAAAACATTTTGTGTATTTGTGTTATTACGGGAAGAAAATTCCTTGAAATGCGTATTATTTGTGCAATACCTGCTTTGGAGACAAGCGGGTGTTCCGTGCGTTAAAGCTTTTTGAAATATTAAATAATGATTGAATCTTAATGCTTATCGTTACCTCTTTCAGCATTTCCGTTTTTACATTAGAGATTAGAGTTCCCGATAACTTGTTTTTTCCCATTGGAAATCGATGACTTCATCCTAAATGGAAATTGTAAAAGAAAAAACCATTTTGTGTATTTGTGTTATTACGCCTTGGAATGTGTATTATTGTACAATACCTGTTTTGTAGAAAAGCGGGTGTTCTTGTGCGCTAAAGCTTTTGATTCTTAATTCTTATTTTAGCATTTCCGTTTTTATATTAGCGTTAGAGATTAGAGTTCCCGCTAACTTGATTTTTCCCATTTGGTCACATATTACATGTACTCATGTATGAGATCAACGACTTCATTGTTCAATCATCCTAAAAATGGAATTCAAGTACCAAATTGTGACAGCAATTTAATATTTGTATGACAACTTTTTGTGCTATCATGGTTTTACAACCCCATTTTATTATGTAGAAATTATATTGGAAACCATTGGGTTGTAAAGAGGAACAAAGAAGAACAAAAATAAAGTTCAATTTGAAAAATTTTTGCTTTCCTTGCAACGGGAAAAATTTTAGACACAGTGGGTTTTACTTTGATTGATAAATAAAAATCCTAAAAAGATTTTATTACGAATTTGAAATTCGCATTGAATCTAAAACTGAATTGGGTATTCTATTGTGGATCAACAACCACCCCCAAAATAATTTCCAAGATGTATTGAATGATAAACAGATTCATTAATAGTACATGTAATAGCGATAGTTTTTTTTTTTCAAGAAATTAACATGGCACAGCATTTAGAATTTTATTATCGTTATAATTTAGCTAAAATTACAATTTCATAATAAGATGTGCATTGAAATTTAGCGTTAGCGTTAGAAAATTATGTCAATTTTCTGGTGAATTGTGTCACTCTATTTGTACCACCATTCAATAGAAAATACGTAAATAAACTATTTTACTCATTTTATTCGTAATTCTTTACAAAAATGCCAAAAACCTATCGCATTGATTTTGAAAATTTCACACCAGATACTTTATTATTTGCGATACATGCTGATTTTGCTGATAATCCGGGACTAGAAGAACGAGTGTCATTTTTACAAGCAACTGTACCGCCAGAAGGTGGTATGGCTGGAGTTGAATTTGAAGAATCATATAGTGTGATGGTGATCGATTATTTTAACCTGAAAGGAATCGGCATATACAAAGCATTTCAAAGTATTCCCGCTGCAATTGGCACAGCTTGGTCGCTTATTTTTAAGGTATTCTTAAGTTAAATTGCAAGTGAAATGATCATAGATTACGTGTTTATTGAAACATTTTCGTAAACAATTAGGATAATGTCTCGCAATTTAAAAGAAATTCAATTGGAAAAGCATCATCAGACACGATAACCATTTTAAATCGTTCAAAAACCAAAGCAACCTTAGGCATTGGAATTGGCGGTCGTCCAGCCGCCTACAAAAAAAATGTCTACGTCGATGCAAAAGCTGCATTTAAAATATCTCATGGATATTATTTACAAGTTCATAGAGTCGATGGAATGGTCAAATACGATGTGCAAACAGATCCTGTAAAATTAGAATTCGCTGGAGGTCTAAATATTGCGAAAGTTGCCGCGAAGCTTGTAAATAGTTCAAAAATCGTTATTAGCGTAGAATATGATTATTTTGAGAATGCTCGAGATGATTCAAAATTATGAATTTGTTTACATGTTAAATTTAGGTTATAATTGTTATAAAAATCGCACACTGAATTATTTAATGGAATCGAAGCTTTTGAAGAAAACAAAAGAAAACTAATTATTTCTTTATCTAACAAGTCAACGTTATTGGAGCTAGATTTCTTGTGACTTATAACTAGCCTTTGAGAATAATGAGAAAACGAAAAATTTTCATTTGGGTTTAAAATAGCTATATTGAATATTAGGAACAAGTTTCTTTAAGCTACCACTTACGCCAAAAGTTACATGATTATTAATCCCAAATTCGACAACTTTAAATGCAAGAATTTTTGACTTATCAATTTCTTTTGATTTCCTGGTATCAAAAGAATCTTGAAATACTGCAACTTTAAATATCGGAGGTGTCTTGATCTGAATTTCACCTCCATTTGGAAATTTATCTTTGACCTCTCCTTTTTCTGTGACATATCTTTTGATGATGATGACGGGTTTACGATTAATTGCCATGCCAATCTTTGCATCTGATCTTGACATATTTCGAATAAGAATGTTATCAGGTACACTGGTACGCTTATTGGATCTTTGAAATTGTTGCACTTTATCCTATATATAATATCGAAAGCAAAAACTGCTATTATTTCAGGTTCAATATTAGAAATAAAATTTATAAGTAACTCACTTTAAATATAATATCCCAGACATCACCCTTGTTCGTTTTTAGCATTTGCATAGAATAAGCAACTCCTACTCCATCTTCGTCATAGTAATCTCTTATGAAAATATCCAAGCTCAAAATGAAAAAATCAGTTGGTTGGCCTATTGGCGAGATGGGATCTTTTTGTGGACCGCTTGATATCGTAATTTCTGGTGGATTAGAAATAACAATTGTCGGGTTTTCTAATTCTTTTGTAGTCGGAACTGATGGATTTAAAGGTAGCTCTGAAATTACTAAATTAATTGGAGATTTTGTCAAATCTGGATCTGGAGCTGTAGAATCTGGCGGATTAGAGACGGGTAAGTTTATCGTCATGCTGGCGTTAGGAACAATTTCTTCTGATCCTGGAGGATTAGATTTTGCTAAAGTGATCGTAGTTAAATCTGAATTTGGATTGTTTGGTTCTGGTGGATTAGAGATTGGTGGCATGGAAGGCGCTGGTAAAGCGACGGGAAATATTGTATTTTCGTTTTTATTCGAAATAGGTGGTAGTCCTATCTCTGGTTTACTTGCTTCATTATTTGTTGCGGGGGGAGTCGTGGTTGTTGATGGTTTAGTAGCAACAACATTTTGAAAAATCAAAGGAAGACTGGCGAATTCAATTTCTAATTTGGGCTTATTCACAACTTGAAACTCACAAAATACAGCAAAAGTTAAAGTAGTTAAATCTTCTTCATAATTGTAAAAATCAAAATAATGAGTGGTCATTGTTTATTTATGTCAAAGAAAGATTAAAAAGCAGCTCTCTCTATTGCTATCTTATATAAATACATGTACATTGTGTCTGTATTACACATACCGATACATGTACGCATAACGATATTAATAATGATAAATAAATTAATACATGATAAATAAAATTTAACGTTAGCGTTAGCGTTAATGGATAAATACTATATATCGATATGCGATGTTGTTTATAGCCTACTGCTATTGCGGTCCATTAATGGTGTTATAGGACGAGAAGCATATTTAACGTCAACATCAAAAGTTTTTATTACACTCGGAGCAGGAGTTTCACCTTCTGTAGAGGTTTCACCTTCTGGAGTTTTAACTTCCTGTTCAACTTCTGTGACAGTTACGATTGCAAGATTAAGGTTATCTGTAAATGCTAGTTCGTGGCTTTTTCTTTAATGTGATGAGAATAGGATAAATAGACAAATTAAAAATGAAAAAATTCTTTGGAAATATGATTTAGATTCGCTTACTCTACGATATCGTAAGTGATAATTTGACCGGAAGGAAGGTTCGCCAAAACCCCAAGTTGTGGTTTTAACGTTAAATCAAATTTCGCTACTTCGTCAGGAAGAACATCGAATCTACGTTGGATAACCTTAATCATATAAATATGCAATATTAAAATGATGTTTTTCTCGGTACTTTGCTGAGTTTAGTATCTACTTACGCTTCCAGATATTGCGAGTCCAACAGTTGTTTGTGTACCAGTTTTATTAATTATATGAATCTCTCCGTCTGGTGCTTCTTGCGAAGTTGAAACCAATTGTTTAATATTATTCTTTAAATATTAATAAATAATTAATGCTCTCTAATGCAATTAATGAAATAGAAAAGGAGCAATGACATTCGATAAAAGACGAATACTTTAATTTTTAGCTCCCATATAGCTCCTGGTTTCGTCCGACGTTTTTGTTGTGACGCATATACACCAGAAGTAACTGGGTCACTATAATTGATAACTACTACATCATACACTTTTTCAAAAGTAAGAGAAGCGCTGCCTTTCTCTGGTACATCGGCTTTAAGCCAGACCGTCTGTTTAGCATCCGGCAATTCCTTCGATCATAAAAGAGAGAAAATTTAACGCGCCGTACATTTATTATCTATTCGTATTATATTTCCTTTTTATTCTTTGAATTACCTGAAATACCGCAAAAGTGATCTAACAATTTAAAAGGTTTATGAGAGATTAAAGTTTGGTAAATAATCGATAACAGCATGTCATAGACTCTACTATTACCAAAGTATCAGGTACTTCATTCCTAAGGTCAATGTAATATCTCGACATTTTAAATCTTGTTAAAGAAAATTAGATTTTTGAGTATCCGTTTATTTGGTTGTTTATATGTACATAAATCTCGGAATCACCAGCCACACACTTTTAGAGAGAATGGAAACAATCAGATATGGATTTTGGTGTTCCGAGAGGAGCATATATATGAAGGAAAATCAATACATGTATTAATGGTGTATTACTGTTACCGTTACCAAGATTTGTGTACGAACAGTAGACTTTTAAGCACATGACATTCAACTAAAGAATTGGCATAATACTTGGAATTGTAAATGTTTTTTCTGCATTCTCAATCTATAAACTACATATTAATCACAGAAAAGATTCCAGATAAATTTTACAGAGAAAATATCATTTATTATTATTTAAAGACTTGAAGGCAGCTTATTCTTATATTTGATTGCTAGTTTAAAAGTTTCCCCATCAAGTGAAGCAGAAACTTTCGCGCAATTATACCCAGCTCCAAAATTAATTGCATCTGAAGCCCTGTTTTTTAAGAAAAGAAAATAATTAGCGCATATTCATATTTAAAATAAAGCACACACTAGAGATGTATTTCGTACATTATAACATCACCAGTGATCACTTGGCCTTCTACTAAATCACTAAAAACTCCGACATAATAAGTCTCGTTAATTTTAAATGCGGCTCTCGCCCCATCATAAACTGCTTTTACAGAAGCTAATTGACCGTCGATTCCGATGCCAAGATGAGCTAAACTTCCGGAATTATTTTTCTAATTTATCAAATGACAACAAATGAACTTTAACATATATCTAAAAGATATTAATTGACTTCAATAATATCAGCAAGTATATTTACAATTGATATAACGTTAGAACTACCAGAGTAGCCGGTTTGTTTTTCGAATTGTGCAATTCTTCGCTAAAGAATGATAGAACATTTTTAGATGAAACAAAATAAGATAATCAGTAAAGAAAACCAAAAGACAATTACATATTTCGTAAGCGTCCACTCTTTACCAAGATCACTCTTAAACATTTGGTGTGAAGTGTAAACACCTCTCTGTTCTTCGTCCCTATAATCAGCCGATATTACATGGTATTCTTTTTTAAATGAGACTCCTGCCATCCCTTTTTTCGGGACGTCGGCTTTAAGCCAAGCGACATTATTCATACCCGGAGATCTTGGAGATCTTGAATTATTAAAGAGTTTAGTTTTTTTATTAATTTTGGTCAATAAGGTTGGCAAGGAAACCTTCTTTTACTTCATGTATAAGCCAAATGTAAGAAGTGCACCATCGTCTTCTTTATTTGAAGGAAGGTCATTGTAAAAGTCAATGTAATACGTATTCGCAGCCATCGTTTAAATATCAGTAATTTTTTAACGAGGATGTCATTTTGGTAGAGCTGTCAATTATTTCTCCTTTTATATATTCTACTTTATTGTCATTGTTTCTGAGAATTTGTTTCTTGTTCTTTCCTTTGCATTCATTAAAATAGGGATCAATCTTTTTAAGGGTGTATATTATTTTATAGGGTCCCTCGAATAATATTTATCTAAATCTAGAAAATCCCGCTAAGAACGTGTAACGAGAACTAACTTTTAGCTCTGAAGAAACGATCGCAAATAGAAAACAAGGTAATTATAGTCGAATACCAGTTTCATTCAAACCATGAAAAAATACAATATTGATAAAATGCTTTCAGTGTGTTTAAGTACAATTTTTGGTTTCTAATTGTAATTAGTGCAAAGAAATATCACAGACTTGAATCTGCACGGACAGAATAAGTGATTTCGAGCATGATTTGATAACCTTTAACATATGCTCTGATTTTTGCACAATTGGCTCCATCGAAAGTGATTTGTTTATTCCTATAAGGGTAGAAATTAATAGAAAATAGTAAATAATTGACAGTAAGATTATGGAAAACTAAAATCAAGTAACTTACGCGATTATTACGTTATCCGTAATCACCTAATTAAAAGAGTAATAAATAAATCAATAAATAAGTAAAAAAAAAGAATAATTAAGAATTTGTATTATACCGTTCCAACTTCTAAATCCGCAAAAATCCCAACATAATAGATTGGATTAATTTTGAATGCAGCCGTAGCTCCAACATATACTCGTTTCTTGATTTATGAAAACAGTGTAGTCAGTTGCCGAAATAAAATTCATATTTACAAAGAATATAATCATAAATACCTTGATAGCGGCTAATTTTCCTGACATTCCAACACCTAAAGAAGCGATACTTCTCGATAAATTTTTTATGACAATTAAATCATCATCGTTCGAATCTCCGACATGTTTGTCATTGAATTGTGCTACGCCATTCTATTTGACAATAGAATTTAGTCAATTCTGTGATCTTAATGTTAATGGATAAAGGGCAAAAAATCAACAAACCTTCTCAACTATTTCCCAAGAAGTTCCAAGTGTTGTATCCAAAACTTGACACGAGGCATATCTACCCTTTGCCTCTGGATTATCATAATTGGCATTAACAACACAATAAGTTTTGGCAAACGAAACACCAGAAAATCCATTTTCTGGAACATCGGCTCGTAACCAAGCGACAGCATCAATACCAGGTGTGTTTGGATACCTAAAGTGACTATTGATTAGCAAAACGATTAATAAAAATTACAAACAAAAATGTAGATATTATACGTTTGGTATACACCGAATGTTAAAATTTCGTTTGGAACTTCATTAACAAAGTCAAGATAATATTTTTCAAAAGCATCCATTTTTGAGTTTTAAATTCAATAAAGCACTATTGCTATGGCATTATATATTATTGAATATTTTTTGTGTAACGAATGATCAAATTTCAGGACTTTGAAATTTTGATGCAATTCATATTTGCATATACAAAGCATAACTTCTTAACGTTAATGCTACTTGAAACAATTAACGCTAAGTGTGTGTTTAGAAGATCTCTAAAATTAATGTACAATTGCAAGAATAGTTACAAATATGTCAAATTTATCATGAAAATTTTTCTGATTTTAATTAGATTCCCAATCCCTTACACGTTTGTTTCTTAAGACTCGATTTTCGCATGTTAGAAGAATTGTGGCAACTTTACTATGTTGATATAATGTGTAAATTGACTCTTTTTTTCATTGCCATTTGCGTAGCGTACAATGATGTTTGCTATAATAGAATGAGCAATTAATTAATGTAACATATCGATATAGATATCAACGTAAACACAAACATTGTGAATTGCGGGATTCAATAAAAGCGGAATTTTTGTACCTAAAGAGATAAGCGGAAATACACGATTAAGGGTTTTTCCTTTGGAATCTTTGAATGCGTATATCAAGAAATTGAAGCTTGAACACAACATTATTGACGGAAACTTTAATTTGGAAATAAACAAGACTGAAAATTTTCAGCCAAGCTTAGCTAAGATCCTTTGTAAGCACTCCCTTTACATGAAGCGAAAAATTTATTTTAAGCTAATCAATAAAGTTTCTCGGAAAGCTAAAAATGTATCAATTCAGGTTGAAAGTTTACTACACGTTTTTGTTTCTAATTTTTTTCTCATAGTAGAATGATTGTTAAAATTAAAATTCCTATTTTATTGCTAGCCGCTTTTGAATTCTAACCGTTTTACTTTATGATTTTCGACGTCTTGCACACAATTTCAAAACAAAACAAGGACACAACTGATTTCATAAGAAGGTGCAAGATTTCATTTAATTAAAATTAAATTAGGATCAGATCGAGATTGTGATAGTTGTGGTGTGATGCTATGTCCTAGAAATGAGATTGACTCTAGCCTTTAAATCCGGATTGTGATTTATCCAAACTTTTGGACTTAGCGTTTATGAATGTTTGTATTATATACGTATATATATATACATGTATATAGACATTAGATTTTTTATGATTCAGCTTGAAATACGAATGTGATTGTTTTTAATCACTCAGATTCAATCCGGTTTCAATTGTGATAAATAAAATTGAATTCCAAAAAAAGGGAATCTTTTTGTGTTATCAATCAACATTTAGTAATAAATTTGATTGACAAAAACGGGAATTATCAACCAAAAGCTAGTCATATGTACACAAAAGTTTGTCAATGATAAGATACACAAGAATATCATTGTGTGAATAACGGGTGAAAATCATGTACACTCGATTGAATTACAAAAACGGTAAAGATCAAATTAGGTAAATGTTATTTAAATTGTAATTGCATTGTTTGTTACGAAAAAATTTCCCGTAGCCACAAGATTATTTGCATTGTTTGTTACAAAAAAAAATTTTAAATATTATCCGGAAAAGCAAAAACTTGATTATTGTCTGATTGCCAAGCAAATTTTCCCGCAATATATCGCGGGAAATCAAAATGAGGAATTTCTATACGGATATACTTTCTTCTTCTAAATAGAATAAAGTTGTTTTTTATTTGTAAACAATTTTCGTAACACAGGTTCGAGATAATACAGAATTTAACTTAGAAAGAAACTTTGCTCCTCAAGAAACAAGTACGACTCCTCAATAAAAACTCTATTTTTGTGTGTGAATCTTTTTTCGATGGGCGGGAGAAAGCATATTAGTCGAATGTGCATCATTTTATTATCTCCACATGAACAATCCTTACAACTTCCGCGATGCATGAATGAATGAATGAGTGAATGAAAGTATTTGAAAACAAGTTATCGCGTATTGTAATGTTACATTTTGAATAACTTGAAACATTTTATTCCCGAGAACAGGTAAAACTCTGATAAGACGGTAAATACTTTTTTTGGAAATTATTCGATTTAAATGGCGCATCATTTGTTGGAAACTACTCACTTTAAGAATAAGCGCCACACCTGGATCAAAATTCAAATCCATTTAGTAAGAATTGAATCGAGGGCGCTAGTTCATTAACCCTTGTTTAAATTGGCGAAACCAGGGATTATAAATTAGCCCTATTTAGCATTAAAATTTAATAGCTTTGAAAAATGTCAGGCGTTATAATCTGTCTATGAGTGCTGCTTTTACTTGATTCTTCGAAAAAGCAAGGTGGTGACTGAAATTGTAAAATTTGATACTATGATATGGTCACGGCGTAGCACGTGATACTTAATAGATTCTTTGAAAGTAGCGAAGATAAAGACTATATAAATCTAAACAAGCAGTTTTTCTCAAATTTTAAAAGATAATCATACAAATGAACACGATTCAATTATTGTGTAGGAAATTTCTTTACTTTCGATTATTTATTATGTTTGAAGTGACGTAGCTGAAGAAAGTAGAGGGAGCAAACATCGATTTCGGACAAACGCATGCACAAATTTCTTTGATTTTGGTCTTATATTTCGACCAAATTAGTTATGCATATATTTGCTTAAGAGCAAAAAAAAAAAACGAAAACTAGAATTGCGTTACAATTTCTCCGACCTAATAGGAGGATATTCAATTGTAATATCATATAGAATATCATCTTTACCAGTGTTAAGATCAAAAATAGTAGCAGTAGCATTGAATATAGCTATTGGAAATTCTACTTTAGCAGGTTTGGATATCAATTTCGCGGTAGAAATTAATTGGCCTACTTCAATTTTTTCGAATACACCTAAATAATATTGTGGCGAAACTTCAAAATCCACTTTCGAGTTGACCGGAAGACCTTTGATTTCACGAGGATCTTCTTTTTTACCTCCTACTGCCCTTAATTCATTTTCACGACGTTGAATAGCATTTAGTTTGAGTAAAAGACTTAACTTGCCATACATCCCAACTCCGACTCTTTCATCGGATATCGAGTTGTTCTATTTCAAAAGGGTTGATAATATAATAAAGATATGAAAATTACGCCTATCGTTATCGATATATAAAAATAATCAATATCTACCGTGATAACTAAATGGTTTGGATTAGCTGGTTTAATTTTATTTTTATCATATTGAGCAACATGATCCTATTAGGTTCAATGAACATTACAATAGCATACAAACATATTAACAATAGCATATAAACATATCAAAAACGTGCGTTTAAGAGATAACTTGCATGAAAAACTAGAAACCAACTTCTTCCCAATTCCGTTGGCAAAATTTGGGAAGATTTAATCACTCCGATTTCATCTTGATCAAAGTAATCAACAATGGCAACATTATAAGTTTCTTGATATTCAACGCTCACGGGCGGCTGTTTGTCAGTAACTTCAGCTATAATCCAAGCTACGGGCTCGAGAGCATCATTATCGGTTCCTTTAATGCTAGCAAATGTTTGAAATAATACAACAAACAATGTTTTATTTTTATCTGCTACTTTGCTTTTGTATTCTAACGCTAATCGATAAGTTGGTTTTTTATTATTTTTGTTGCTCATTGCTAAACAAAAATGGCTAAAATGATAACCTTATTTTCATTACCGTGACTATTTATTAACCAGTAGTGTGGCGCAAAATGAGCCACGCTAGAAGTTATACAAACTGCTATGTATCGCTATATATTAACCTAATCCGCACATTTCTCATAATAACGATAAAAAGATGAGTGACATATCCACGTTTTTTATAAATTTTATAAATCAAGCACCAGACCGTACAATTTCTTTTGCAATATATCAAGATTCACCAACTCTACCTGCAGGATTTCAGGTCGTAGCATGGCTTCAAGCAGATGTCCCCCCGGATGGTGAATCAATCGTTATGTTTAATCGTGGGGAATATAATGTCGCTGTTGTTGATTATTACGACGAGACTGGTGTTGGAATATACAAGTCAAGTCAAATATTTGTTGCAAAAATCGGGCAGATATGGGAATTAACTGAGAAAGTAAATTTTCTTGATGATTAATGATTATAATTGATAATTGACTATTGATTATTGAATATCTGAATAAATAAATATCAGAAAGGAGTACAACAATTCAATAAAGGGAGTGTTTCTTTAACAGATGACAATAACCAAATTGTAATCGTAAACGAGGCGAGTACTTTGACATTTAAAGAATCTTGTATATCGTATGAGAAAATAATTCTAAGATGATTTTTAAATAGTCATCACGTGAAGCCAATTTAGCGATTGGGGAATCACATAAAATAGCGGTATGTTTATTTTTTACTTTCGCGAGTGTGCCTAAATGCTAGTGCTAATAAACTAAAATGTTTATATGTATAGATTGTGCATAACAAAGTCAAGAAAGGTGATAGAACAACTTTTCAATTACCTAATCAATATCATGTCGGGATTTTTTATGACTTAGTTCTTGGTCAAGGAATCAGTAGTGATATATATCATTTGTCGAAGCTTTTGGACTTGAGTGCTGACACTAATCACTACATCGTCACGGCTAAATTTGATAGTATAACTAGCAAACTTTCGCTCGAGATAGAGCCCGGTAAACCCATGATAAATAATGCTGAAAATAATCGAAATGAGAAGGATTCAAAATTGTAATGTATCCTTTTTTGCTCTGTTTCTTTTTAGCTGTTTTATAATTAAACTAAAACCGATCTTCAAAGAGAATTTAATTAATAGCGATGGCTTACGAAAATAATTTTTTTATATTTATTAACGCAAAAAATGCAAAATTAGATAATTTTGATTAGTTTATATTTTATATTTTAAAGTCAATGCTCTTTTATCCAAGAATCTTTATTTTTTTCTCTACCTGTAAAAGTAAAACGATCGAAGCATTGCACGAATATTAGATTTTCCCATCTAATTTAATTAATAAATTAAAGAAGCAATACATTTTCATCGCAATCTACTTTTTGCTGAGAAAAATCCTTTTTATCCATATACATGTATAATAATAACGGCAACTTGATAACAATCAATTTATTTATTTATTATTTGTTTACGTTTATAGCAGATTTTCCATTGTGCAAATTATTCTCGTTTACGTATTCGTTTTCTAAAAATCTAAAAGGAATTTTCTGTTTCTTCGCATTGAACACAAATCTGCAAATCAATCAAACAAAATAATACAGCACGCATGCGTAAGAGCGTGATTGCATGAATTATCGATGTACGTATACGTATCAGTATTAATATCCCATGTTTATTTGTACGTACATGTACATGTACATGTATAACGATACATGTAATAATAATTTCCTATGTGAGAAACTTATAAAAAACCTTTGAGAGCTTTAAAAAATAATTATTTTGTTGTACATCCATTATCGTTAGATGTCGACATCGATATACTTGTTTCCTGCTTTTTAAACGTGTGCATGTCATAAATTAATTAAAAGAATTTAAATGCATAATGATAATAATTACGGATGTGTGTATTTCAACGAATTTTCTTTTGTTCTGTTTCTCAAGACTGCAACCAACAAGATTCAACGTATCCCCGGACAAATCCGATCACAGACATGTATAATGATAGTTTTGAATAATAGCTGGGATCTCTTTGAACGCCTTAGGTAGATTTTTTCTACATTATCTGAAACGATAATACGCATACTTGTGTTAGAAAATGTATCACTAATACATGTACATTTGAATGTAACCAAAACATCTAAATTTGGCGGTTTACAGCTCTAATGTTAATTGACAAAGGAAAAAGAATAGCGATAAGTGGAAAAGGAAATAATATTGTCGACCAACAACAAACACCAGCTTCTTCGATTGCATGTGTGAATTGCCTATAAATTGGCATTTCCCCCGATAAATACAATGTTTAATCTCTCTGCAAAAAAAAGTTTTTTAGCTGTCATCTTCGTTACAAAATTCGGTTTCCATATTTGTGACGCGCTTTTTTCACTCTTTTATAAAGCTTTCTTCCAGTCGGAAAAATCGTCAATCGGCCGGCTCCGAAGCTATCCGTATTTTTCACACTTCATCTCTTAAAAACTATTTTTGAGCGCGTCTCTTTGGACTGAATAAATCAACTTTCTTTTGACAAGGGAGGAAAAATCATTGTAACAAAAAATGAAGAATGTTTCCTTGTTTTTCGTAGTTTTTTCTTTCGTCGCAATCACCCTAGTATTTGCTTCTCTTGAGCCACTCCCTGGTGGTTGGCGTAGGTCTGAAGCAACTTTACTAGATCAAAGAAGTCTTGTTGACAAGACCCATACAGTGGAAAAAAGAGTTAATGCCCAGATCACCTATTACGAAGGCCAAGATCTAAAGAATTCAGCTTGCTATGGGAGAAATGGACTTCCAGTATATAACGCTCGACCGACGGATATGATTGCAGCCATGGCTATGTCTGGATTAGACATGTGCTACAAATGTATTGAAATTAAAAATCATAAAAAAAAGGTTGTCACCATAATTGTTAAAGTTATCGATATATGCGGTGGATGTCCTCCTGGTAAAAACAATGTTGACTTGACCAAAACAGCTTTCAGTAAACTCGCTAATCCAATTGATGGCCGAGTTGAAATTGTATGGCGTCCACTTCCTAATTGCCCTACAAAAGGAAAATGGCCTAAATTTGAAAAGCGCAAGCATTAAATTGTAATTTGACTTTGTAAATCTTTTTCTTGTATTTTTACAGTTAACGTTGGAAAATCTTTAGAAATTTATTCTTTGTCTATTTACAGTTTATTCATTTTAATTTAATTTAATTTAATTAATTTAATTTAATTCACTTAATTACTTCGAGTCATAACAAATGCTCATGATAAATAATACCGATGTGTTGTAACGCATAGTTTTAGATATCGATATGATTTCTTTATACGTACATGTAATTTGAATAAAAATACCTGAAGCTTATTGGTTGATTAACTAATGCGTATCACAATATCAAAATGTGTATATTCACTATGTAGATTTCTTGAAAATGACGGAACATTGGCTTGAATCCATTTCAAAACATTTATTTTCATAAAGTATAAATTTAAGATTATAGTCCTGAAGAGTATTGATAAATTCTAAATAAATGAATGACGTAGGAGAATTGCATTAATTTATTCTCGAATGTGATGTCAGCGTTAGACCATTATTCATTTATGTCAATAAATAGATGTACTTTCTTCAGAGAACGTGATTGATATTAATACAATTTATAAATTTGTCAGCTAATAAATAATACATGAGACATAAAATCAAACAAAGGATTTGTAGTCTATATAGACACTTAAAGTTTAGAAGCTATTACTCTATCGACTATGAAGTAATTTACCTCAAGTCTTACTGATGATTGAGGATTATCACATAAGTCCTTAGGAGGAGCAGGCTTTACACTTACAACTGCAAGATTAAAACCATCCTTTATCAATAAATGCATTGTATAATTTAGTAAATTTTGTCCAATATTAAGAAACAGAATTCAAACACACACACATATATATACATACCTGATACGATATCAACGTATCATCAATTACTTTCTTAACAAGAGTCGGACCATCTGTAAGTGTCTCAATTGGCGTAGCCACGAGGGAAATAGCATACGTCAAAGCGTTAAATGTTACCTCTTTAGTGGGTTTTACGAGCTTCTGGGTGACTTGAATTGGTTTACCATCGATACTAAGACCTACTGCATAGTCATCTTTTGCTTCATTTTTGATGGTAATTTGATTATTTGGAGCAGGTGTGGGGGGTTGGTCGAATCGTGTCAAATAGTCCTTTATAAATAAACATGCAACAATAAAGCATATAAATACTTCTATTATTATTTCTATTAATAATTAATAATGCAATAATACACTATTTAAACTCACTTCTCCAGAAACAATAGTCCAGGTTACTCCGTTCTCGGTTGGCAATACTTGCCTTGGCTTGTAGGTGTCGGGAAATTCACAAAGAAATTCACCAAAGGTGACTCCTAATTTTTTTTCTTCAAACGCAAACCAAGCTTTATATCTAGGTTGAATCGTTTTCTGAACACGAGGAATGGGCCTTAACTTATTTTCCTTGTCTTGGCCACTACCACTACCATACGAAAAAACAAATGTAAACGCTTGATTTGGAAGTTCATTAGCTAATTCTAAGTAAAACTGTTTTTGTGGTGGATCTGTCATTCTTTAATATTGTAATTTACTTGAAGAAACAATTTTAGTGTTGAACTTGACGAAGAGGTTAATTTATAGGTTCTTTAAACGACGAAAATCAATCCATTTGGCACGGCCCGTTTTTGTGATTAGTTAATATATTGTCAAATCTAAACCCTAATATTTTGTGATAGGAAATTCGGGGTAAATGTATATATATTTTATTGGATTCTGTTGCTCTAATCCGATTTAATGCGCCAAGTTAAAAAAAATTTTTCTGTTACATAACTGAATTCTGGTGCGGTTGAAGTTGGCGATCGATGCAGAATTCAGAATACAGCTAATCCTAAGTGGAACCTAGGATGCAATTGGTAGGCTGATTTCATGTAGTAATTTTAGATTCCAGGAATGATTGGCATAATTCTGGTTGGAACTAACGCTAATTAATTCGATTTGCCTTTGCGTTCGTTTTTAATGAAGTTAAGCATTTTTTACAATTAAAGACAAAATTTTTTACTAAAAATATATTTGCGGTTCTTAAGCAAAAAATATATTGATTGTTTAAATCATCAGTATTCAAAGTAAATATTGTAATAAAAAACTTATAATTTTGATAGATGGGGTAAAGTATTTCCAACAATTAACTCAGTAATTTCAGGTTCACTATAAATTCTGAGGCCGATAGGAATAGATGAGATCTTTTCTGGATTTCCTTGATATATACTGACGTAAGGAATGACTTGATAAACACCAGGCTTTAGTTTGCCATCATAACTGACGCTTCGAAGCTCAGTCGAATGATATTTCGGCGCTTCATCTACTAAAACTTGTGCACTTGCAGGATAAATTTCGAAACTAAGACGAGCACTAAATGAACAGATTTACGCAGTTAGAACAACAACAATAATATTAACTAAACATATCCTTTATAAACTTACATAACAGCGGATGCACTATAACGCGGATCTGACTGTTGTAAGACAATCTTTACAGCTGTGCTTTTATTCTCTTTATTCGGAGGTACTGTAAATACGAAACTTGGAGGCGGGCTTTTCGGTGAACTTAATGAAAACTCAAGCCAGATCGAAGTCAAATACCAATTATTTGATATAATCTCACATTTATCGATACTTTGAAATTGGTTTAATAGAGTGTCATAATCAGTGAAAAATGTGCTATCCTTATTAAATGGTTTGAAATCAAGCGCGGATGCAAATTGAGGATGTGCTTTCCATCTCGTATCATCCCAATCAGACCAGTTTCCTGAATAGAGAAAAAAGAGTATTCCTGTAATTCCATTTATATAAAACACGCAAAATAAATAATAACAAACCTTTCCACTCTGCTCCTGTCCAAGGGCTTTTAATTTTAACAAGTCTTTTTCCACCAATATCATAAGCTCCCAATAAAATATAAACATGATTGTAAAATAATCCATTCTTTCCAAGTTGGTTTGCTTTGTTATATTCAACATTATTCTTACGCCAATGAAAAAGTCCAAAAACTGTATCTTGTTGCCAAGTGTCAAGTGGATGTCTAATAGCGTAATTGAATCCAATTTGAATTGGCTTCAATTGATCTTTCCAAAATGATTCTTTGTCAAGATGATCAGAATCAAAATATGACGTGAATCCACCAGTCAAATCTTCGACTCCTTTGATTCATCAAAAAAATTAACGTTATTGCGTGTAGCCACACAGGTTTAGTTTCGAAAACATTTAAATGATTATAGAAAACCTTGAGCTGCAAATCCCCATTCGATGCTTTCGTAATCACCGTGAAGTTTAGCATATGCTTTCTCAAGTAAGGGAACCCAAAAATCAGTGTTTAGATTATCGCATTTACTGAATGAAACGGAAAGATATTTGTGAATTGAATCTGATCGAAGGAGATAAAATTTTAAAACTTATATATACATACGCAAAGACAGTCTGATATTTAGGTTTATTGGTGGAGCCGGCAGGATTATTTGTATTGCCAGTAGTGTTATCCACTTGTTTATAGACTAATATATGATCATCTATGATGACAGGAACCCAATCACCATTCTATAGAGAATAGACAAATATTTTTTTGGTAATATAATTATCATAAGAACAGCATTAGTTTATTATTATCACCTTAAAAAATAAAAATCCTGCGACACCAATTACAGGATTCCAAAAAATAAAGTCTCCGATTATAGGATTCAAAAACCCTTCTGGATTCGGTGATGGTAATTTCGCAACAGAGTCTAATCCTGCTGTGAACCATCCATCGTTGATTGTGATCCCTTGATTCACTTGAGCTTCAGCAGGAATGATTGCTTTGACATTTATTTGCCACTCGTCAGGTATAATTTTCAGGATTGGGGGATTTGGTGTTGGTGAACTCCATGGAATTTGCATAGGTGTAAGTTTAAGTTTAAGCAGGGTTTGAAGAGCCATCACATCCATTGGATCTTTCACCAATGATTCTAAATTCTGAGATGGATTTAATTTAGGAAAATTTTTTATTCCTGATAAATCAAAGACATCTCCAATTCGTTCAACTACAATATTCGAAAAATCTTTGGGAAAACTTGGTGTAGTAGGATTGAGTGATCCATTTTTATACAAACAGTTTGACAAATTGTTTTTTAAATCAAATTCCAGATCAAAAAAAGGTTTCTTTTCTTTAGCAAGAACCAAATTTGTCCACATCTAGGATAATAACAGAGAATCAGATTTAGTTATATATAAAATATCATAATAAAAATTAGTGCGAATATAGGATCGTACAATTTGATGAACAGTAAGCAAATCGTTCATTTTCTTTTTTCGTAATTCTAGAAGTTGAGCTTGATATTTTTGTCCTACTAATGCATTTAACTTTTTGTATGCATTTTTTTTTCTATCTAGCTTATTTATAGGATATGTTTTAATAGCATCAGTATCGGAGGGAATTGGCAAAGGTGGGAAAACGAAATTCAAGTCAGTTTGGGTAGCTGGTGGATTTGTTGTTGCCATGAATGATAGCAGCAAAAATTATAATCTCTACTGAAATAACGAGATTCTGTTACTTTTTAAATTTTACGACGTTTGATTTTGTAACTAGCGCTAGCATTCATTCTTTATTTAATAATATGTTCGTCGTACAATCAGTTACTACATAACAACGGTAAAATCTTCATTTGGTAAAGATAGCATTCAATCCATTACCTAAATTCAACAATCTAGGCTTAATCCACACATGTTTGAAAAATTACCATTTTAGTTAGCTTGTGGCGTCAATATAACGCCACTATGTTTGGATTTTGACTTGAAATTTCACATACTGCTGTTATTAATAATGCTGATAATTTAAAGACTCATGTATTAAGGTTAGAGATCAATGAATGATCCATCTATTTTTTAAATTCCGAGCAATAAGATACATGCTAAATATATGCTTACGCAAAAGCTGAAAGTTTATATTAATGTAAACAAGAAATTACAAATTAAATCCGAATGAAAAGTTTAGTACACGTATAAAAGAAGATTAGTAGAAATCATAAATTAGTACAGTTGTCATTGGACAGTCCAGATGCTAATTTTATTTGTCTCATAAAATTTCTAAGTCCAGTGGTCCAATGGCGCGCGGTACTGGATTAAGCAATACCTAAGCAATCAAATTCGGATGTGTATAACGATAACCTTTGTTCGTGTTTTAAAAATGGCTCCCGTTTGAAGATCTTATTAGAAAATTAATCCTGCTTGTGGTTTAACATTAATATTCAGCATTTAAAAAAGGTCAACTTTTGATTTTTGTATTCAATCCTAATATATACGCATTAATAAACTTTTGCTCCAGTGGAACAATTGTGTTCCGAAGTCGCGTGCCACAATTTAGCCATAGTAATCTGTTCGAGTTTTACAATCTTCTTTGCAAAAGGTATAAAATGACTTGATACTCGGTTCATAAAGTTTTTTTTTCAAAAGACAATACTTTTTGGTAGACTTATAATTTTTCACCAAAAAAGCAGAATTTTTCTAAAATGACCGATTACTTTGTTGACTTTATCAACGATGTTCCTGATGACACTCTCACTTTTGGTGTATACCAAACGTAATCATTTATTTAATGGGTTTTTGCTATAGTTGTTTTCGATTTCCGTTATTTCGTTTATGAGACCCCTTCCATTTTTATATTTTGTTAAAAATATAGATTTCCAAATACACCCGGAATCGATTCAGTTGCTTGGTTAAGAGCTGATGTCCCCGAAAGTGGTACAGCCGGAGTGAAGTTTACTGAAACTTATTGTGTCGTAAACGCAGACTTCTACGATGATGATTCAAAGGGAAGATACAAAGCTAGTCAAACTTTCAATACTAATCTTGGAACTGCCTGGGAACTTATTGACAAAGTACGTTTCATTTTAAGTTTGGATACTTTATTTATTTAATTTTTTATCTATGCACATATCTTTTATGTTTAATTTTTATCTATATGCACATTATTATTAGGACACTATATCACAATTCAGTAAGAAAACTAGCTCTTCAAACGCAGATAATCTTATTGTCATAAAAAATAATTCCAAGACAACTGCTTCGCTTGGTATTGGAATGTCTGGAAAATTATCAGCAATCAAAGTAATTTTAGTCTCAATTTGCGTCTGTTCGGCTTATTGTTTGACTTGTTAAATTTTCTTAAATAAAAATCTTTAGAGAAAAGTGTATGTTGGCGCTACAGCAGCATTCAAAGTCACCCCAGTAATCTATGTCGGAATCTTCACAGATCTTGAAATTGGAGAGGTGATTTTTGCAAATAATATTTTTTATAACATGGCAAATACCTATTAACATTTTTCTATAAAACTATTCAATAGGTTATTACCGACGATGTAATCTTGTCGTAAGTTTGCAGTAGTAGGATTTTTTTTATAAATGCAACTTGCCATAACTAAATATATCCTTCATTTTTTCTGCGAAATCCAGTAACTCGAAAATTACCTTTGACGGAAACAACGTGGTCACTATCAGAGCTTATCTCAAAGGTCATCAATTTAAGCTCGACGTTTCTTATAGCAATCGTGCAAGCTCTAGTCTTTAGATATTTAATTGCTAATTGTTTTAATTTTTACCCAAACGTTCTATCAAGTGTTTTGTACAAAGAATTAACGAATTATCGATTCAATTTGAGATAGAAACTTCATGTTAAAGTGTAATTTAAACAATTTCATTAAATGAACAATAAACATATTTTATCATGAACAAAAAGGCATTAAGAGAAATAAAAAAACGCGACGTGGGAGATCCGAAGGAGACGATGACAAAACTATATATATGCATTACAGATATTGTCGACATGCTAAAAAATCGAAATAGAACTTTGTAGTATGAGACAATTAATTAAACGAATATTCTAGCTCGACTAATTATCATACAAAGACCCCTTCTGATAGCAGATTCATACAGCAAATTTAACAAAACCAGGTCTATTATAAAAATTATGTCAATACGGTACAGTGAATATTCATGGGCCCGTATAATAGACCTCGAGTATAATACAGGCCTCTAAACTGTGGTATTGTTAGTTTGGTTACTGTTGTCGCTTTATTATTCGAATTCTTAATTATTCGAATTCTTAACGTTAAGGTTATTGTTGCTTTTTAGATTTCATGTTACTGTATTAAGGCTTTCAAGTGTCGTTCTGTTCCAATCAGATGGAAATTTCCACGCATAAATAATTAAATTAAAATACTAGTGCTGCAAGCCGACTGAGCTTTTGTGGCTGAGCCGCCGTGAAGATTTTGAGGCTTAGCCGTTCAAATTAGGGTACCGTTAAAACGGTGTAGTGCCCAGCCACGATTGGCACCACATAGTCCGGTAATCTGTGGCATGATAAGGCACGTCTGTTAAATTACGAGACATTCATATGTCTGTACGCCTTTACGTACGTAACTGTGGTCAAACTACGAGACATTCATATATCTGCGACTAAATTACGAAACAAAGAATAAGTTTATTGTGGTATAATAATAATATGAGGCTTTTTTTCTTTCGTCGACTTTAAAGTGAGGCGGATTTGTTGGGGAATCTGGTGTATGTTGTTTCTCTGGTAAATAATGAGCATTTCAGACCGAATGTGAGTGTCTGGATCTCATTTTCAAAAGCAGATAATCAGCTAAGTTTTGAGGTTTATAGGATATTCTATTTTGTGCATTAGGCAGAGTCTGTCAACTTCTGGTAAAACTGATCTGATTGAAGTATTCCACCAGAACCAATCATCCAACTGAATATGTTCTTTTGACTTTTAAGTTGTGGTATTTAGTTCTATAGGAATTATATTAATATTTTTTTTACAACACCACCAATAAAAACTATTAATTATTATTATCACTACTCTATCACTGTATCTATCATCATCACTTTATCACTGTGTCTATTATATCATCTCTACTATCTTTCTTTACTATTTTCATCATTATCACTTCTTACCATCACCATTATCACACAGTCTTAACTATTTTCAATGGGTACTTCTTACCTTATTCCAAATGAAAAATGATTTCTTTTTTTTAATATACAAAATGCATTTGAGATTCTAGATGAAGAATTTGATAATAATTGGTGATTCTTGATTTTAAATATATAAACTTAATTAATTTCTATAAACTTGTTAATGGTAATTCCTGGAAAATTTTTACATGTCAGTTTACAAAACACTAAAACTCAAGTATGTGACAAAACAAAGACATTCCAAATAAGAAATACAGAAAAATAATGATTCAACCATCTGAACTTTTGTTATATAAAAATTAAAATTATATAATTAGTTTTCTTTGAGATAATTTGAATCAAATACTATAATAATTCACCAAATTATACACAAACTCTAAAAGAAAGTGATCAAGTTAAATGTTCAAAGATTGTTCAAACTCAAATTAAACAAGAAGTAATAAAAATTATTCATCAGTAACAATTATTAATATTATTAAAAAATATGTAACTAATAAACTAAAGCTTGATATTAGTATTCAAAACTTAAAATAAAGAAAAGTTGCAAATATTAAATATAAGCTTCATAAATTTATGAAGACTCACTTTGTTAATAATACTAACTTAAAGTTAAATATTTTAAAAATTATATTTTATTTAAATAAACAAAAATATTATTACAAGTTTGTTCACTAATTGTGAAATTAGCTTACAAATAAGAACCTGAATCGAATCAAATCATATTGATTACTATATTAACTCCTGCATGGGAAAATACTAATAAAGATCAATATTCTATATATAACAAAAAGCAATACAAAGTTGGCAAAAACTGAGAAAAATTGTTTGAGAACCAGAAAAAAGCTGCATATTAATCAGTTATAAATTCATTTCAAATGCAATATAATAATAAGAAATGAGCACAACTTCTTTGATATTGAAATGAATATATAAAGACTGATGAATATTCTGCTAAAAACAAAATTGATGCTGTTTTCAATAGTTTATACTATAAAAATCTTACAAGAATTAGCTTTTTTACGAATTATCACAATATAGCTTTATTTAGATCAATGGATGACTTTTAACTCTTTTGACAAAAATGGGATGACTGTTGGATGATTCTCTTAATTAATACAAATCTTTCACTGAAAATTCATATTAAATAAGAAAATTTGATAATTGCTGTAATATTTCTGGATCCTAAGACTTCAAAGAACTTTAACTCATTTATTAGACCATTGGTTAATGAACTGAAACAGTTGCACAGTAAAAAAACTTCTTCCTTCCAGATAATTTTCACTTTCTTGTCAAATTTACAGTTCAAAAAGTTATTATCTGTACTGATAATAACTTTTTGAACTGTAAATTCATATAAATTCTAATTTTTTTCTAAATAACAAATAAAGTTCAATGCTATAATACCAAAAGTAATAAAAATTTTATATTATATGCACATATTCTAAATTAGTTTAGCAATCTTCCTGCTTTAGCAAAAGTGATATGCACCACTGAACACAATTCATATCAAAAATACTGCTTTTGTTACTTGCAAGGAATATATTGCGCAAATAACAAACATGTATATTATCTATTATTACTTCCAAAATAATTAACTAGTATCTGCTACACATCCAATATCTTGCTGAAAAAAACTCATCAGAGTTATCTTTGGGACATTGATATTGTTAAAAATTCTAGATTAAAAATCAATCATATATAATCAATAAAGGATACTGGTATAAACAGCTAAAGTATTTTTCTAGAGTTCAAATCAGTAAGGTTTTTGGATAGTTTTTCAGTGAATATTATGCATGATTTTTTCAAAAATATTGCTTTAGCAATGTTCCAGTACTGGATTAGAATATTGCTTAAATTAGATGATAATTTCAATATCTCTAATAATAACTAGAAACAAATCAGAAGTGTTATTGAAAAAAATTGAAAAAAACATACCATACAAGTTTGAATGTCCATTAGTTGATACAGTTAGACCTCCCTAAGTGCACCCCTCTCGAGATCATAGTGAAAAAAATATAAAAATGTATTTAGAGAGAGTGTGTATTTATAGAGAGCAAAATACATAGAGTTCTTATAAGCTGGGATCAAGTTATATCATGCATTTAGAGAGAATTTATATAATTCATGTATTTATAGAACATGCACTTAGAGAGATTTGACTGTATACTCTAATATTCTAATGTTTTTAAGGCAGAGAGTGAACAAACTGAATTATATTGTATTTAATCTCACTTTTGTTTAAAAATCTAAATAAAAAATTAGTAAAAAATCTCATGTATTTGATTAGAAATTCTCTATTCTATCCTGACTAACTTTTATTTTTTTTAAGTATTTAAAAGAATGAATAAAGCTTGTTGATACATGCAAACTTTATTTAAAAAAGATAATTACTTTCGATAAATTAAAGAAAATTAAAAGACTTTTTTCTGAGTTTGTAATGCATTATGAAAGAGAATATTATCAAAGAGAATCTGTTCGACTACCAGCAACTTTGATTTTCTTCCATTATCTTCTTCATATTGCCAAATTTATTCAAAATATCAGATCAGTATGGATGACCTGGCAATATCTAATGAAAAGACTTTGTGGAATATTGTTGCCTCTTGTCTGGTCAAGACAACATCTCTATACAAATCTAACCAATCAAATTACTATATGAAATCAATTTTCTTATCTTCAATATTTTCCAGAGATTAATAAATGAGTGTTTGATAATTCAAAGAAAAATACAAAGAAGTCTGAGAAAAATTGAAATTTTGAAATTGAAGATGAAGATAAATTACTGTTGGTATCAGAGTGAAACATACACTTAGAAAACAATTGCTTAAATATTACTATATTATAGTGCAAGAAATAAATAAACTCTCTGTAAAAAAAAATAAAAAACAAAAATCAGGAAAAAATCCAGTTTTTAGTTCCGGAAAATCATGGATTTTGTTAACAAATTTCTGTATTAAAATCTGATAAAAAACTGCTTAAAAATGAAAAAAATGAGGAAAATAAAAAAAATATCCGGAAACTTTGGGACG